CCTGCATCTTCTCGTCCGCTAAGGCTTGGTCAAACTTTCTCTTCAGGGCAATCTCGTCAGGGCTTAGAGGACTTTCTTGGTCGTTTCCGTTATATGCATTCGGCGGGTCGTCGAACGAAGAGGGGGTAGGTGATCGATCCTGTCTGCGAGGTCGACCAGCTGGATTACGCGTCGGAGGTCGTCCTCGCCGTCTCGGTTCGTTAGCAGCGGCTGGTAGAGGACCGTTCGTGCGAGGGCGTCCTCGCTGCCTCGGTTCGTCAGCAGCGGCTGGCTCGGGGCTAGGACTATTTCTGCGAGGTCGTCCTCGCTGCCTAGGCTCGTTAGCAGCGGGTGGTAAAGGACTGTTTCTGCGGGGGCGTCCTCGCTGCCTCGGTTCGTTAGCAGCGGCTGGCTCGGGGCTAGGGCTATTTCTGCGAGGTCGTCCTCGCTGTTTCGGCTCGTTAGCAGCGGCTGCATTTTTGCGAGGGCGCCCTCGCTGTCTTGGCTCGTTAACAACGGCTGGTGAGGGACCATGCTTACGAGGGCGTCCGCGGGGCCTTCCTCCCCCACGATTCCCACGCGGCGCAACCGGCTCAGCCTCAGCTTCTAAATCATCCTGAAGCTGGTTCTCGGGATTTGGTCGATGATGCTCAATCAAGTCTTCTAAACGGGGGGTCTGTGAAGGGTCTTCACCACCACGTCTTTCCACACGATGGCGGCGCTGGATGTTGTTAAGCTCTTGGCGAGCAGCGTCCGTCGCAGGCGAGTCACCTGGCACATGCCCACCTTGAGGATACCTCTCTTGAAGCACCGAATGGGTGATATTGCGTCGGGGCGCAATTGGAGTCGCAGTTGTAGCAGCTGGGGGGTCCTAAAAAGATTCAGTATTAATATGATCAATAAAAGATATCCATAAGATTTACCGGTCGCTTTTTAATGCCGCGGCAGCTAAGGCATGTCGCTACTTGGCGGTCGGCTTGACGAAGAGAAACAAACTGGTCAATATTTTTTTCACGATGGCAATTGCCGCAGACCTTCGTTTCCTCATCAGAATCCATAACGCTTTCCTATTGGTATTTCGCGTTGATGGGAAAGTTTATGGGAGAAAAGAGAAAGGTAAGGTTGTAGCGCATAATGTTTTGATGAATCTCAGCCAATTATTTTCTTATCATTTGATGAATTCTCTTATCAATTTCCTTATCATTTATTGATGAATTACTTATCAATTACTTATCAATTACTTATCATTTCCTTATCAATTTCGCATAATAATTTCCAAGAGTTCCAGCGTAAAAAATGTCTCCGACGGATTATCTAACTCTAGATGGATGTGCAATGATGCGCTATGAATCAAACAGTTCTTTCTTCTACGCTATGTCTCGATCAGATTAGTCCGTGCATATGAGTAGAGTCTCATTAAAAACGTACAGCTCATTCGGGTGTCTTATGAGAATAAGAGCTCTCAAGTTGAGTTGTCTAAGTTGTCTAAAGCAATGTAGAAGGTTAAAAGTAACTATAAGAAGCTTTGACAACTTAAACGAAGACATATACCCCATACCCATGCGGGCTAGCTTCTAAAATTAAGTTGAGCTAAAAAGAAAAGCGCCTAATTTAGCGCGGAATCAAAAACAGACTTTTTCCCTTGTCTTTGGGACGTACATATTCCAGGCGATCTACGTAAATGGCCTAACATAAGGTTTTTTTTTTCTCGCTACATATGTCGTGTATTAGTTGACGAAATCTAGAACCCTTCGTCCTAACTCTTCCGAAAATCTCTTCCCCTGGCTGTGCTACCAAGCCTCTCGAGAACTTCCCGATTATACCACGTGTGCGCGACCTGTCCCTCGCCGAAAAGAAAATACTTATTTGATACCTACACCAGCCACAACCTATCACTTGCAGCAGAAAAGAAATAAGCTTGCGCAAAGACCCCTCGGTCCAATTCGTCCAACCATAATAGCTCGAAACGACCCCGCGATTCCTCCCGATTGGACTGTGGCTCGGACTTTGACCGGTGGCACTGCATCAGAATCAGAGCCATTGTCTCAAAAGAATTTTTTTTTTTAACCTTTTCCTTGCTTGTGACGCTGCGGGATCGAAACTTTTTATTTATTAAGTAACTAGAGCATCCAGCACCGCCTGGTCTCTTTCCCCTCCTTCTCTGATCAACATGGGCGACATGGCGAACGAAATCAAGCTGCTCTCGGGCAACAGCCATCCGAGCTTAGCCAAGGCCGTAGCCGATCGGTATGTTTCTTTTTTTGAATCCTTCCCTACCTTTGGACGACACAACCGTATCAATTGGAGTTGCTCGGTTATTGGTGGCTTTCCCTTCGGACGATCGAATGACGAAATTGGAGATCAGTAACGCTCCAAGAAGCAACTGGATATGGGATTGGCTAACAACAAACCCTTCGCGATTTTAGGCTCGGCGTTGAGATCGCAAAGACGATGAGTTTGAATTATTCAAACCAAGAAACGAGTGTCACAGTCGGCGAGTCAGTCAGAGACGAAGATGGTACGGCCTCACCCCTATAGCAGATCTACGCGATTAATTCGGTCATGAACTCATCCCTTCTCTATGCAGTCTTCATCTTGCAATCTACCGCACCGGGCGACATTAACGATGGCCTGATGGAGCTTCTCATCATGATCCACGCCTGTCGTACGGCCTCGGCCCGGCGCATCACCGCCGTCATACCTAATTTCCCCTACGCCCGGCAGGATAAGAAGGATAAGAGTCGGGCGCCTATCTCGGCCAAGCTCATCGCCAACATGCTGCAGACCGCCGGTTGCAATCACGTCATCACGATGGATCTCCACGCCTCCCAGATCCAAGGCTTCTTCAACGTCCCCGTCGACAATCTATACGCCGAACCGAGCGTCTTGCGATGGATTCGGGAGAACCTTGCCGGTCAAGAGATGGTTATTGTCAGTCCGGACGCGGGCGGTGCAAAGAGGTAGGTCGATTATTATGCGCGCGCCGCCGACGACATGGGCGAGGAGAAGCTGACATGATGCGATAGGGCTACATCCATAGCCGACCGTCTGGACCGCGGCTTCGCGCTCATCCACAAGGAGCGCCCGCGCCCTAATGTCGTGGGTAGGATGGTGCTCGTCGGTGACGTAGTAGACAAAGTTGCAATTCTAGTTGACGACATGGCCGACACTTGCGGTACTTTAGCGTAAGCACCACTATCTACCCCCTAACCTCTCCGAACGAATGACAATATTAATATTCCCCCCTTCGCAGCAAAGCAGCAGCCACCGTCAAAGACCACGGCGCCCGCGAAGTCATCGCCGTCGTCACCCACGGCATCCTAAGCGGCGACGCCATCACCACCCTCAACAACAGCTGCCTGAGCCAGATCGTCGTCACAAATACCGTGCCCCTCGGCGACAAGGTCCAACGGTGCAAGAAGCTCCGGGTCATCGACGTGAGCCCTACGATAGCCGAAGCTATCCGACGAACTCACAACGGAGAGAGTGTTAGGTACGTCTTCACACAGAAATATTCATATATATATATATATATATACCTATTCCCCTTATCACGAGGGCTTTTCATATTGACAAATTTACAAGTTTCCTATTTACACACGCTCCGGTATGATGCGTATTTGCTCGCGCGAGCACGAGTCGAGGGGATGGAGAAGAATGTGGCAGGTGAATGTCCTGCTAAAGATATATGTGCGTTATTAGAGGATCTATCAGGGTGGACTCCATGGTTTCGGGAGTTTGAGATTGCATTTGGGAATCGCTTATGCGAAGAGCCAAGACTGGGACCGTAGAGCATAAATTCGAGGTCATATAAGTACGGAGTTCATTATTTATTGTATTGCATTTGACTACGGATATACACGCATCATCAACTGCAATGTTGGCGATTTCTAGCTTGGGTCACGGCGAATTTGGAAAAAACATGCTTGGGATAAGGAAGCATTATGTCACATAGCATCATGAGTACCCATACGGGGTTACAGCATTAACAACTTTGGAAAATAGAAATAAAACGGATAAAACGGCGGTTTGGGAATCTTCATCATAATTTTTTGTGTTCCGGGAATACATTTCATGTGAGGCTTTTGCCTATCTCAGGACCAGCCACCGATCATCCCTGCAAAAGCCATTGCCACGATTTATGCCCTAATGCAAGAACCAGAAGACACCGACCAAACGCCTGTAGGTATTTACTTGCGCATAGAGCTTGCGCGACGCTTGCGAGCGTCAGCCTTGTGGGCACGGGCCTCGGCGACACGCCTAGCGATAATCTGGGCGTACTCGGCCTATAAATTGTTGTTAGTGTACGTAGCAAAAGAATATTTGGAATGGTTAACGTACGGCCTCATCCTTGACCCTCTCGGACTGTCTTCGCTTGAGCGCAATAAGGTGACGCTTGTGCTGGAGGCGCTGGGGAGTAACCAGGCGCTGGATCTTGGGGGCCTTGGTGTAAGGCTTCTTGCCCTCCTTCTTGGGCTGGATCTCTCGTCGAATGACGTACTTGCGGACCTATATAACGGAGAAAACCGGGGTATCAGCCATCTTTTGGGTGTTCTTACAACACGATATTCCTCTCAGACTCTACTCGGTGGTATTCATTGCAGGGATTCTTCTCTCTCATCCCGCAGAAGCAACGACCGAGCAGGCGATGACGAATGAAGGTGTACTTACATCGTCATCCTTGCTGAGACCGAAGAAGCGGCGGATCTTGGTGGCACGCTTGGGACCGAGGCGCTTGGGGTGGACGACGTCGGTCAGACCGGGGATCTCGTTCTCGCCTTGCTTGACGACGGAAAGTGCGAGGACGGACAAGTCCATGGCGGTGATGCAGCCACGGACAGACTTTCGCTTGCGCTCACCGGTGCGGCGGGGGCGGTAGCAGGAGTGGCCTTCGGAGAGTAGGAGACGGACACGGGTAGGGTGCATGACACCCTGCTTCATCGGGAAACCTTGCTTGTCGTTACCGCCGGTGATGCGGAAGATGTAGCCCTTGAACTCATCGCCGAGGTTATCGCCGGGGATTTCAGCGCCCATCTAAAGTAGTATACATGTTAGTTTTCCCAGCATTCAAATAATAGTGGTTGCGACCAATGTCCATGATGCCTTCTCGATGCTTGTATATTGGTATATAAGGTATCGAAGAGGATTGGAGGCTTTTCGAAAATTCGCAAGAGTATCAACGAGAGAGGTTCAGGTGTCACGTACGCGCTTCTCCATGAAGTCACGGAGCTTTCGCTCATCTTCAATCTCAATGAGCTTCTGGCTGCCATTGGCAGGGTAAGAGATGTTCAGCTTCATCTCGGCGGTGGTTGTCGCGGGTCGACCGTGTTGGGTGTTGTTGGATGAAGTCGAGTCGTGAGAACACACCGAAAAATTAATGGGAATTGGAAAAAGGTTCAAACTTGTTGTGTGGATTTACTTCGCCTAATCCCATTTTTCCTGCGTGCGAGAAGAGTGGGGACACGCTAGGGCTACTGGTGCATGGACCACTGCGATCAAATCTCTGATAAGGATAAAGGAAGTTAATTTTCCGAAGAAATCCCATTAACGCGTACAATCTGACAATGTCCTTCAAGACGCGGTACGTACTGACTGGATCCACTTAATTTTTAATTCTTTATGATCTGCCTGACTGCCCTTCATCTCACTGCCTCCATATGGTGAGAAGCTGCTAAGGTACCTTACCTAGTAGTCTTCTTAAAATGGCCTCTTCTATTAAGTTACACCCTAGGAGTCACGGAACTGAAACCGCTGGTCAAAATCCGCTCCCCCAGCTTCTACAGACACCTTCCGGTTTGGCTATTCTAGAGCTTCAAGGCACTATCAATGTCCCTGAAAATAATGAGGACAATACCCAAAAAGTAACTATCGGACGGCTCGTATTTCCAGACTATCACCCAGAAACTCAAGATTCTTCTAGCACTGCTTGGATGAAGCAGATTCATCTTTACGTGGGTGAGCATCAGAGACTCACTGGAGAAGCCAAGAAGCTACCGAAAGCTATGGCTATTATCAGAAAACGGACCAAGTCGGGGGAAGACGTAGAGATGGCTGATGAGCCATCGAGTTCTTCTACGGTGGAGGAGCTGGAGGTGGTTGAAATTGTCAAGTACAAGCTTGTATTTTCTCAACGCCCAGAGCCCGTGGGAACTGGATGAAGACATACCGATGTATTGCTACGAGACTAGGAACTAAATCATAAACCCATCATATGGCCCCCGAGCGCGTTCGGTTGCGAAGGCCGAGAAGTCTATCTCTATATCTTATGGTATCAAAAGCCCTGAGCACAAGGGAATTCGGAAGCCGCGTACAAAATACCGAATGGCAACCTGCTGGAATGACCCGGACTAGGCGAGGGACAAATCAACTGAGCCTATAGCCCCCTGTGCACCTACATCGGTAATTATTGGAAGGTCCCTGCACCTAGCAAGTTGTACGCGGGGTACATTGAGTTTCTGGTCGGAATGCCAATCTTACTATATATTAGGTACATTCCGGGGTTTTTCTGCTTGGGTTGTAAGAAAATCAAATTGTATCAAACGAAACTTGGAAGCATAAACTCTAGAATTAGAGAGAATGTGATGGTGAGATTTCTTAAGAGAAATGCAAAGAGTTGAGTTGGCACAAGACCCTCGTAGCCCTTCTAAATACCTTCTGACTTACGAAGTCATACTATATCTATCCACGCAAAATAGGCACAGTTAATTCTTGATAAACAATTCATCCGGCTTGCCTCTTGCATCTCTACCTTCAACACGTCGCATGATATTTATATGTGCTTTGAACGTGATCTGTGATATTGATGGAAAGGTACGGGGGTACTTCGTACTTCTTCTTCTTCGTTAGGTAATCCGTGCCTTAAATCTTGGCATACTGGGGGATAAGCTGATAAGAAATGAGGCTAATCAGAGACCCACATGATATCGACCTTGCATATTGCGAACGGACCGCGAAGCTGTCAACTTCATTGAACTTGAATTCATCCAGCCTTTTCAACCTTTTCAAGTTCATCTAGAGACAACCACCCGCGACTCCTTCTAGATAAGCGACGCAGGATAGACGCGTGTATTTGGAAACTGGGTTTTTTGATATTGGTCTATTTCGCCAAGGCGAACTCGGTTCTCGTCCACGCAGGCTACGACGTCATCTTAACATCGCGAGACGTATGAGTTATTCGCCGTTATAATCATTCGAACGACTTAAGTCGAAGGTGACTATTGGAACTCTAAATTAAACCGACTTAGTGGTTAACCCCACCCGAGCTCAGGCCACTATTCTGGGGTTTCTGAACCGTTTTCTTTTCTTTTTTTTTTCTCTCGATTCGTTCGATCGAGTGCTTTGCTTCTTACGATCTTTGAACAATTTTTCGAAAGAATTCCTCGATCACTCGGGCGTCGATTCATCCAATCGTGACACTCGACTTTCTCGACTCCGCAAATATGGCAAGCGCACCCACAGAAAATGAACAGGCCCCTCCCGTCGCCTCGCAGAACGAGGAAGAGGCCATCATGCCTTCGGAACCTAAGATGCCGACACGGAAAGACACTTCGCTGAAAGAATTCTTAACCAAGATGGACGACTACGCACCTATCGTGAGCACCACACGGCCAACTATCGGTCATAGAAGATGCGCTAACCACCCTACAGATCCCTGATGCCGTAACCAACTACTACATGACAAAATCCGGTCTTCCCCCGCCACCCCACACCGACCCGCGCCTCGCGCGCCTCATCGCTCTTGCGGTCCAGAAGTTCGTCGCCGATATCGCCGCCGACGCCTACCAATACAGCCGCATCCGCGCGTCCAACACCAGCGCGAACAACCCGATGGGCAACCTCGGTGCCGCCGCAGGACTCCAGATTCCGGGCCAAGCGCAAGCCAACGCCAAAGATCAAGGACGTGGCGGGCCGCTGGGTATTCAGAGAGCGGGTTACGGCGGCGGCGGCCAGGGCGGTAGCCAGAACCGTACGGTCCTTACCATGGAGGATCTGGGTATGGCCGTCGGCGAATACGGCGTCAACGTCAAGCGAAGCGAGTTCTACCGTTAAACATCGAGCTATGTTTGAAGCTTATTAATCAACATGAATATCCGCCAATTTCATCCCGCTTAGGCGTCCATAAGCTTCTGCCGGTCCTCTCATCACAACGGGCGCGAGGAAATACGTCATCGGCAGAACCTGAAGCCATACCTGGATATTCACAAAGAAACTTTTGACGTTGTACTACACAAGCCGCTGGCCTTGCTATATTTCTATTTTTCACGGGACAGCAACAGAATCCACGAAGGCCTACACATAAGGAACGGAAGGTGACATTCAGGGAAAAAGGTGTTTGGCGTTTAGGAATAGGCTTTTCTTTTCTTTTCTTTCTTTTTTCTTCAGAACCCGGCCCAGTCGCGCCCTGAAGTTGTACATGTACAATTAGAAGATGGGCTGCGGCCGTCTGGTTACTAGCTCTGCGTATAATGCACAAGGATAAGCGTTACGAATTGGCGTGTCTTGCGTGTTCTCTAATGGTATGTATGGTCGTGTGAGCGCATAGGTAATATACAGTAGACAGTAAACTCGTAAAAGACCCCCCCACCTGAAAACAACAGAACGCCGCGGGATACCTACACCTCATGGTGCCTATTTTGGTTTACCGTCGTGACCAGATGAAAGGCTTTCTCGTCCTAGACGGAGCAAAGTTAGTGTTATGTTAGTATTAGAAGAGGAGAGTTAACCATGGGGACGTACGGAGAGAACTCGCCGAGCTTGTGGCCGACCATCTCCTCGGTGATCTCGAGGTCGTGGTATTCCTTGCCGTTGTACACCTGGAACTTGAGGCCGACGAAACTAGGCAGGATGGTCGCGGCGCGGGCTTGCGTGCGGATCGGCTTGACTCGTTCGCCTGGGCGGGGGCGCACGATGGCGAGGCTGTGGTGGGTTGGGTGCGTTAGAGTTGTGGGATTGGGTGAATGAATGAATGGATGAATGGATGTCTTACGGTACGATGTGCGGCCCTGGAGGTGGGTGATGGTTAGTTTAGTTATTACTGCGTTTTGAGTATAGGATAGGAAAAGGGGAAAGAGGGATATTGGAAATGGCTGGCTTACCCTTCCATACGGATCGGCCTTTCAAGAGCCACCTTGTCGGCTGCATTTTGTCTGGATTTGGACAATTTGATGCTGGTGATGGAGGAGAGCAGCTCGTCGCAATAATTTCTATGCAGATGTATCATGTACTTGGTAAATGCATATCCCCGAATCGTGAGTAGGCGAGGACTCGATAACGGATTAGTGTTATTCCGTGATATTAGTTCCATTTATGGGGCAGTTATTTTAGTTTAACAGGTATTTGTACTTCGTACCTTCTACAAGATACTTTTAACATTTACCTGTCTTAAAGGTTCATTATTCAAAATAAATATTGAAGGTAGAACACCTATTCGAGGGCTTCTATTGCTGAATTTGAATATATGCGGTTATCGACTTACAGTATACCCTCTCAGTTTTGCAATTGTCTCCTCGGATCCATACGAAATAAGTAAACGGGAACTTAAGTTGCCGTGTCAAGTGCATCGCTTCGTTTTATCCAAAGAACACCCCAGAGTTATGCACAATTCGACTTTGAGGTCTTAATAAGACGAGAGGTATTCCCCTAGTAAAATATGAGTGTATATGTTGTTTCTACCTAAGTTAACTACTTGAACCCCGTGTTAGCTCAATGACTCGCTGGCTGACTTCATTATATAGAACCATAAAAGACACATGTGAAGTCGACGTATATAAATACATAGTCTATTCTGATTGGTCTCTTACACAATTCGACTTGCTCAATCCAGACTTCCCGCGTCCAAGTCCCCATAATCAAAGCAACGGTGTCCAACACCAACACTACATAGTAACACCACCCGAGTCGTGAAGCCAAAGCCAGACGCGTTCCCAATACCATTCGGGAACGTAGCTGTCTTTCCCCATTTACCCCTGTTGGCTATCGGCCAGTTTAGCAATCGAGTGACGAGTCTCTCATTACCCCTGAAGAGTACATACATAAGCTTCCGTCGCCACGCGGGAGAAGCCGTACCTTAGCATGACCTAGTCCTAATATATGTGCGGAGAGCTAGGCCCCGCCCCCCTGGAAGCAGCAACGAGCTTCACGAGAGCTCTGCTATCACGTCCTTTCGGCCCTTATATTTTCTACGTCTTCTTCTTCTTGTTCTTCTTCATATTCTACGTTTACACGTACCTGTTCATTCTTGTGTCATGTCGTAGCTCCATGACGAAAATTACGTAGACTACATACTGCCTATGTAAACAGGGCCCATGTCCATGTTCACACCCTTGCAAGGGTCTGGCATCCTGGCATCGAAAAAAGAAACTACCCTACCTATCCGAAATTCAAGCATCACGGGCCAAGCTGCCGGTCACCGCTATGCCCTTCCGATGCAGAGTCTCGCCCTAGGCTTTATTACAGTACACTACCCCCCCACTGGGTCCTGCGAGGGACGAATAGTTTCAATATGAGCCTCAATGTGGCCTACATATCCGTAGATGCACGATCCCCTCGCGCCGTAATTACCTTTAGCGCCCAGACGTCAGCTGTTTATGCTTCCATTCTCTTTTACGTGGGGCGGAGCGTCGGCTTCCGCCCTTAGAGTATAAGAGGCAGAACAAATCCACGTGGATGGATGTCGAGTAGCTACAGTAGCTCGTCTTGCTTCCCACACCCCACGCCGTTCGTCTTCATAGTAGTTTAGTCTAGTCTGGTCTAGATAAATAGATAGATACCTAGACATCATGAGGTTCGCCGATCTGCTCGTGGCTACGGCCGCCATCTCCAGCGCCGTCGCGGTGCCCAGCCAGACCAAGAAGCGCGCAAGTCCTTTCCAGTTCACCGGCGTAAGCGAGTCGGGAGCCGAATTCGGTAATACGGCTCTTCCCGGACAACTCGGCAAGGACTACACTTGGCCCGACCACACTGCCATCTCTACCCTGATCCAGAAGGGTTTCAACACCTTCCGTATCCCCATCATGATGTTAGCTTCTACCCTACCTAACCTATTATAAAAAATGAAACTAGGTACAAGTGATACTGAACAATGAACTAGGGAGCGTATCATCCCGAACACGTTAACCGGCACCGTCAACGAGACCTACGCCGCCGGCCTTGACGACGTAAGTCCTAACGCCACGTGCCTATATTTCACACAGAAAAACTAATTAACTCCCTAGATCGTCACATTTGTCACCGGCCAGTTAGTCTAACCTCAGCACCCCCTTTTCCCTATCCTCTTCCCCATACTTACAACCTCCCTCCCAGGGGCGCCTACGCCGTCATAGACCCGCACAACTTCGGGCGATACTACAGCAACATCATCACGGACGTATCCGGCTTCGGCGCGTGGTGGACGACGGTAGCCAAGCGCTACGCCTCCAACGAGAAGGTCATCTTCGATACCAACAACGAGTTCCACGACGAGGACAACGCCCTCGTCGGCCAGCTCAACCAGGCCGCCATCGACGCCATCCGCGCCGCCGGCGCCACTTCCCAGTACATCTTCGTCGAGGGCAACTCGTGGACCGGGGCTTGGCATTGGGTGAGTTTTCCACTCCCTCCTCCGTCTTCGTTATATATAAATGGAAATGCTGTTGTTGTCGTCGTCGCTGTTACTGTTGCTAACAATCAACCCGCGCAGGTCTCCAGCGGCACCTCCGAGGCCATGGGTCAACTAACCGACCCCCAGGACAAGATCATCTACGAGATGGTACGCTCACCCCCCTCCCTCTTTCTCTTCCCCCCCTTTCTCCTTATTACAAAACTAACCTACCTCCCCCTTTAGCACCAATACCTCGACACCGACGGCTCCGGCACATCCGAAGCCTGCGTATCCGGCACCATCGGCGCAGAGCGCCTCGCCGACGCCACCGCCTGGCTCAAGGCCAACAACAAGAAGGGAGTGATCGGCGAGACCGCCGGCGGCGCCAACGCGCAGTGCATCGAGGCCGTCCAGGGCCTGCTGGCCCACCTGGAGGAGAACTCGGACGTCTGGTAAGGAATTAATTAATTCCCCTCCTTTCCCCCTTTATTCATAGTGTTAAAACGACGAACTAATAAAAAAAAACAATAGGACCGGGTGGTTGTGGTGGGGCGCCGGTCCCTGGTGGGCTGACTACATGTACTCGATCGAGCCGCCGTCCGGGACCGCGTATACGAGTGTGTTGCCGTCTTTGACGGAATATATCTAAATAGGGGGCGTTATAAGTCGCTGACGTATATATATGGAGGGACGATTATGAGCTTGAATATGTGAAATAGGTACGCCACAGCTACTCGGGCAAAGAACTGTATATAGCACGACGAGAGCAAGGATAGAAAAGAAAAAAGATTGTATATTGGCGCGAATTTGCTTCGCTATGTCGTATCTCATATCTCAGCGCCACGCGCGTTAATTTTCATATCTCTATCCTACCCCTTTCTGCCCCCCTATAACACAGACAGTTCATTAACTCGTAACCCGTCATTCATCCAAGCAATTTGCTCTGTCTCTCCAAGAACATCACCTTGGGTCTATCTATCTCTTCAAAACTCAATTTTTTCAACGCAACCGAAATTTCCAACCCAATGGGTCCGTCTCTCAAAGTCAATGTTTTCTCTTCCGAATCCGCGTGCACCTGCTCGCACCACAAATGCAGCCCATATGATTTCCTCAACGTCTGAATTAGAAGTACCTCCACCGAGCACCACGCCCTTTCGTAGTAGGTGTCGTCTGCTATGCTGATTACGGCATCGCACTGGGTGAGAATCATGGGCAAGGCATGGACGCCTGGCATGGGGTTGCTCTGGTTTATACAAGCACAGTCCTATAGTCAAAGAAGTCAGCATTTACGCTCAAGGGTTGAGATGAAGTTAATCCGCCATAGCTCACCAGCCAAATTCCCATCCTCGCCCTATCAATAGACGGATGCAGTTTCAAAAACTCCTCAGTAGCAGCCAGCATCCGCTTATACTGCGTATTGACTTCATCGTCCGGCGACGAAGCCCCTCTCCACCTATACGAAAAGAAAATAACAAAGTCGGAATTCTTATACTCCTTCGATCCAGACTCATCCGTAAACTCTTTGACTAGCCCATCGGCATGCTTCGGGAGTCTACCGAGGGAGCGGAACGCAGAGTAGGGCAAAAAGGAAAACCCCGAGAACATAGCTTTAGCCTCCTCGTCAGCGCGGAGAGACTGGGCGTATGCGCTGCGCAGCTTCTGCATGCAGCAGTCGTCGTAGCGGCGCGTTATAAGAATAGGTCGGAGTACTTCTTGGAATAGCTTGCGATAACTTTTACGAAGCCTCGCTCCCATGAGCCAAGCTTCGATTTCGTATTCGCTGGCTCTTCGCTGTAGGCCTTTGATTACGACCTCTTTAAACTCGTTATTTCCACAGAATACGGCATAATCCAGTGCCGTGTATCCATGCTCGTCTATGATTTCCAAGTCCACACCGGCATCTACCAGTTCTTTCAAGTACCCTAAATGTTCTTCCGAAGGTTCCTTGCAGAGCGCGATGGCGGGTGTACACCCGGTGTACGTATTGAATTGTTCCATAGCCTCTTCGAGACGTCCGCTAAGCCGCAGCGCATGTCCGTAGAAGAAGCGAGTTAGAGCAACCACTGTTGGATCGCCAAATCCCGTTACGAGGGCCAGTGCTTGCTGAGCTGTTTTCACTGCCTCCTCCAGCTTATTCCGAGCTGAGAGACAAAGCGAGAGACGGGATAACCCGATGATCTCCCAATTTTTACCATTTTTCATGGCGCTGGATTCTTTAGACTTGCCTTTTGCTAGTAATGACTGTTGGATATTTCGAGCGAGCTGTACGCGCTCTTGAAGTTGCACAATTGCCAAGTCAAGGGTTCTGTCGTCGTGATCCCGCTGAGATATCTGATAGTTCACCATCCCAAGGTTTCCAACGGCACGACAGGCTTCAGCTTCGAGACCTAGTTGCCTCGCTGTATGGTACTGCATCTCGAACATGCGCATCGCATCTGTGAGATTGTTTAGATTTCGATAGACAACTCCTAGCTCGCCAACGCAATCTACACGTAGCACATTCACGTCTATATCAATATCAGTTATAACCTTTTCTAGAGTGTCCCTAGCAATTTCGTATCTACCGAGACATCGGTCGACACGCCCAATTTTGTATAGAACCTCACGCGTGTGATAAGCCTTGTTGGGGAAGTTGTTGCCGTTATCACACAGGCTGAGGGCATTGCTGAAAGCTCGCAGCGCATGTTCCCATTCAGCATTGTGAATGTGCTTTTGCCCCTGATGCATAAATATTTCCCAAGACCTCACGGCATCGACGGTTAACGCCAAGGCCTCTGGTGTCACTCCGGCAGGATCACGAAGCTGCGTGAAAGCATCCCCGTCCTTGGGACCGAGAACACCAGCATCTCGGACAAATCCTCGTCGCGAGTCGAAGACAAAAAGGGTAGCATGGAACCGATCGGGCGCGACTTCAGTCCAGTGGTACTGGGCTGCGGGAATCGTGTAGCTTATTCCTCGGCGATGGATATTTGTCCCTAGAGGAACAGCACGAGCTAATTTCTTAGTATTGGTAATAGTTGAGGATGCCGCATTTGGTTTATAGTTGATTCCCGAACTCTTACCGTCACTCCATGCTAGGGCATATTCGGAGTGAGTGGCAGCTTCTGGATCTTCAACGTGCTCAACTTTGTACGAGTGGTCCGTCCCTTCGCCAGCCAAGATCCAACTCTGGGCAAACGCTTGATGTGAATGGATGGCAACGTCAGCATTTCCCCTGTGCCCGTCCGGTAACCAGACATGAAGCCGGAATAGCTCGTCTATATTCCCGTTCTTGATTAAGCTGCAGAGGGCCACCGCGGTAAATCCTTGGGCGCTTCGAGAGGCAGTGCAAAATTGCCTTGTGAGCAGCTTGCTAGTGAGAGCGTTGCGAATCAGTTCCCAGATGAGAATAAGGTCAGCCTCGCCTACGGCTTCGTGTGCATCACCTCCTTTTCTTGTATAAAGCTCACGGAGATATGTAATAGCGAGCCCTATGTTAGCAACCTGTCGAGTATCTTCGTCGGAGATTTTCGTTTCGATAGCGGTACGCCAGCCGCTGAAAGAAAGAGCAATATCATTTTCATGGCTATTAGCGGCGCTTGGACAGACACTTTGTATAATTCGATACGGGATGTCTTCAGGTGATTTCGTCGCTACGGCCACACCCTGCAGAATTCTCAGGAGAGATGTGCTGGAGACTGTGGTTCCTACAATCATTTTAAGTTGGCTCCATAAAAGCTGTTGGGTTTTGAATATTGGCCATGTATAAGTTAGAGCCTCGCAGCCGAATACTCTTACATACCTAATGTAGTTATAGTGTACTTGGTCCAATGTAACCATTGCACAAGACTCGGATTATTAAAACCGTTGCCACCCCTCGAGGCGCAAGAGAGGCGCGAGTATATATATACCCCACTTATATCAACGAATCAGCACTCCAAAAAGGTTTAATACATAGCCCTTAGTAGCCTTTTATTTAAGGGTATAAAAGACTCGATTAATTATATTTAGATAGGCAGATAGAGTACCTAAGCACTTATGCCTCTCTCGTACTTGGAGAAATAGGGCAAAGGGGTGTGGGGCGGTAACTTAATCAACTAAAGAGTATATAGCTCAACCAAGAAGCACTACCTATTATAAATCATAAAACCATTAATGTAAAGCCATGATCATTATTACTAAGTGAATCCTACTCTACACATACAGCGACGACAGGGTTTCGGCAAAGTTTCAAGTAGACCAGCTAACGCCAACGGCCTGCACTCCGTTGGCGAGGCTCTCAAAAGAATCTATATGCCGAATGCCACGTGGGAATCTCAATGCACCCAATGCCTCCTAACGTCATCAGGCGTCAAAAAAATCATGCACACCCTACCCCTATCCTCGTTTTTTATGCTGTACAAGACTGATGCAATCATGACGCCGAGGTATAACACGGCTATGTCTTGTTGTTTCATCGACTTTATGACTAGACTTGGTTGTCCTTTAGGCGAAGCCGAAGTAGTCACTGCCAGCTGTGATGGCCTTGAGCACCTGCTTACGGAGAATGTCGTAGCTATCATACTCGGGCAAATCGAGCTCTGCGTAACTATTAGTAAATCATATCATGTTGAGAGCAAATAGGACAATACTTACGGTTAAAGCACGTGTGAGAACTTGGTAGACGGTCCTTGTTCCCGTAGTCGCGGTGGATATTGAATCGATTGACTCCGTTCATACCCTCGAGCTCCTTGAAGCCATTAAGAGGCACTTTACTGGTTCCCGTGACGAATTGTAAGAGCTTTGCGCGTTCCTCCTTGTCGAACGATCGGACTGCGCGCCAGAACCACTGGATCTGCGGGGAGGATGGCGAGTAGTTGTGGTATTCCGTGTTGCTCTTCCAATCATCTATATCAACGTCCGGCAGACCAGAGATCAATAGCTCTAATTCCTGCTCGTTGAAGATAGATACGAGTTCAGCGGGGATGATTTCGTGGAAGCCTGTTCATAGGTCAGTCTAGCTTTCAGAAATGTCGAGGGGGTTTATATCTTACCTTTCAGGAAATTCTCCATCTGGTCCTTGACCGATGTTAGTAGCTTGTGTTCAACTACTAGGCGCACATATTCGTGCTTATTCTCTTCCGTCACAGGCACGTTGCGGCCATTTTCTCTGAGGTCGTGGATCCTGGTAACGCCGAACTCATCATCCTCAACCGAGAACGTCTCAGTGATAATATCAGTGATGTCGTTGTTCAGCATCCAGGAGAGTGATTTGTAGTAATCCGGATCAAAGGACTCCATATCCTTGACCGACACTGGCTTGCCTAGGATTCGTTTGTAGACCGCACGGCTGAAATAGCAATCAAGTAGACGGCCCTCGTACAAGGCTTTGCCGATGATTCTCCCGATGAACTTAAAAAACATGAGATGCTCATCGTTTATACCACTGAGCTTGTTGGGGTGGAATGTCGTTCGGTCGCTTGAAACAGGCACGAATAGGGCATAGTTGGCGTCGAACATCTGTCGTGAGAGAACCTGGAACCATTCCCTGGTGACACCGCCGGCATCTACACCCTCTTCGCCATGGAATCTAATGCTCAGCTTTCCGAACTTCATCTCCTCGCCTGTCTTGAAGTATAGCGACTTGAATGAGTCGTGGAAAACATGTTCTCGGCGAACTTGCAGCTGTAATAACGGATGTGGCCGCTGACTGACGTGCTGTTTGTTGTGAACGCTACGGTTGAACCAACTGCGCTTATTATCGAACTCCAGGACTTTAGGATTCTTGACAAGGTTGGAGAAGGTGCCTTTCATAAGGGATGGATTGTTGCGAACAAGTTCGTTCAGGATCCGGCGATGCTCTTCCGTGAATGTGAAGAACAGACCTGCTAAGTGCGACTCCGGCTGCGGGCTCGTAAAAACCATGTCCTTGCTGGCTTGGCTCTGGGACGACTCGTTTTGGGTAGTATCCTTGCAGACAACCATGAGAGCCTCGATCAAGGGGAGAAGAATGGTAGCTACGTTAAGCAGGCTATCGCGTTCGCGAATTGCGCTCAGGCAGGCGCTCAGCTTCTCCCATAAGGCGTTGAAGGTTGAGTTACGGTAGAGAGTAGCGAGTAAATCTTGCTTCTTAGTATTATCAGAATCAAAACCTTCTGTTGCATCCGACTTTTTCTGTGCGAACAGGTGATCGAGAGCTGTAAGCACACGAAGAAGTTTATTCTGGTCGGAAGCACCAGGAGAAAATTTGGCCAGAGCGACTCCCTGGATCTCAGTGCCTGAAGCAGCGTTCTGAATATGTGGTAATAGCTCGTCTAGGTGAACGACGATCTTCTCGCTTAAGAGCTGGGCCTGACGAGCAAGCTCCTCGCCAAATACCAGCATTGCTCCGGGAATCACGGACAAATTCTTGATAGTTGATAGGGTCTCCTTGAAAGTTTTAGAACTGCACTCTCGAGCCACAAAGATTTTAATGATAAGAGTCAGGTTATGCACCGGGATAACGGGCGGGTGTAGCTGCTTAATTCGCTTAAGCATCGCCTGCTTTTCTAACGCCTTAGATGATTCGGCGTCAGCAGCCGAGGTGCCAGAGGGCTCATTTTCCTCAGTAGGGCTACCTGCGGCACGTTCCCCGGCTTGCTCCGACGTGCTTGCATTGTTATTTCCTGTAGCCTCTGTATTATCGGCTGCCGCGGTTGTGGGATCTGCGGGCGCGGTTGTTCCGGGCTCTGCTGCGTTTGTGGCTTGGGTATCGATTTTCTTGATAGCTTCTGCAGCTTCTTTCTGCTTGCGATCCAAGGCGAGTAGCGGGCCCGTCACTCGGCTTAATAGTTGCGACAAGCTATCCATGATAGAAGAACTTTCCATGACAAGATCGCGATCAAGAAGAGCAAGCAACGAGTTGATGGCATACTTGTTGGCCTTCACATCTTTACCTTTTCCTTTGCGGCTGAGACTACGTTTGATAGTAGTAGTGCTAACCCCTTCGTGCTCGGTGAGGAAGAGAGAAGGCACGTGGATATTCTGATCTGCAAGGTAGCATAATAAATCAAGGCATTGCTGGACGATCAAGAGCGGTGATGTCTCCGAGCTCGTCTGGACGGAACCGGTGTTGCTTATATTTGTCAATGTACGTTTCAGACTTTGGGGAGTTTGAGTCTTAGTATCGACTTCTTTAGGCTGCTTGGCCTTGATAGACAGTGACGCGAAACTTCGCTCGACGGCGTCCACATCGGTTGAGCCTTCCTGCAAGATCTTGAGTAAATTGCTAACGACATCAAATCGGGTTTGTCGATTTTCGCAGACATCCTTGAACAATGATTTCAAAGAAGTCTCCAGAGATCCGCCCTTCATATTGATGAACATTAGACGAAGTAAGGTATAAACGCCTGGTTTATCCAGCATTTGCACAACTGTTTTTCGGTGAGGCTTGTCTCCTTCAGTCGTTCCAGTGGGCTGAGCACCATCTCGTGGCCGGCTGGTGCCGGGAGACGGTCTATCATGGTGGGCAATAGGGTTGGAAGATCGGACAAGTCGGCGTGCTTGAGCTGCGAGATCGGGCGGCAAAGAGTCAATGATATCTGCACCTTGATCCATGAGAACTTGCTCACGAAGCGCGGGTGGGAACGTCATTAATATACTGGCAGTGTCCATGTCCTGGGCTTCGGCCGTTTGGCCGGAAATGATCGTCTGGCGTCGCATCTCCTCTCGTTCCCGTCGGCGCTGTTCTGCCCGCTCCTGCTGGACAATCTCGAGGCGAAGTTCATCTGGCAAAGCATCCAAAAACTCCTGGAATACCTCGGTCTGCTCTCCTGATCCTCCGGGTGCCTCTCGGGCTTCAGCTCTGCGTGTGCTAACTGTCTGGGCAATGACTTCTTCTCTAAATTCTTCGGGAAGCGCCTCGAGATAGTCGGGGTCAATACCCAACTCTGTAATATCCACTTGCTCACCTCTTATCATAGTGAACGCGCGCGGTTGCGTGGCGGTCGACTCGTCTTCTGTTGTAGACGATGGTACGTCAGATGCCTCTACGCCTTCCATGGCCTCCGGCTCTTCGTGGCCACCTTGCTCGCCTTCCTGAGTAGTAGCCGTCTGGGATTGAGCTTGTGCAAATTCGGCCGCCGCTCGTTCACGCTCTTCGGCCTCCTGCTTCTCCCGAGCAGCTTTTTCCTCGGCCTCCTTAGCTTCCCGTGCTTTTCTTTCTTCCTCCTCACGCTTCTTGCGTTCCTCCTCTTGCTGTCGTTGACGCTCAACTTCCTTAGCTTTGAGCTCCGCCTCGTGTTGAATGGCAGGTGGTACAAGGTAGTAAAGAAGCGCTGGGACAAGGCGGTGAGACTTCTCCGTGTATTGCATCCCGAAGATCATTTTGACTTCTTCCGTCCATCGAGTCATTGTTGATTCGGACGTGAATGAGGTTGCGTGGGTAGGTTCTTGGTACGTCTCCCTGCGGTTGTCCGAGCGTGATTCCCGTGCTGTGCTAAATGGGAAATGAATGTCGTGTATGTCGCCACGTGGTCCCTGTGTTATCTGAAAATGAAAAGCTTGTCCATGGCGGTGTATCGAAGCGGGAAGGGATGCCACAAGATCATTAATGAGGGACATCGGACTATCGATGTTACTACCTCCAAATAGGCCTCCAGGGAATCCTAGGCGAACTAGGCCACCGAGGTGAGGCGGGCGAGGAGATCCATCTCTACCAGTCTCGTTGCCCCGGCGAAGTAGGGGATTTAACCCATCTT